TATGTATATATATATATATATATATATATGTAGTATAGGGAAAGTTATGTAATGAGTGGAAAATTGTTTTCGAGTTTTCAACAAAAATACACATTTTGACGTCCCGATACCAAAAAAGGGTTTTTTTCAAAACATCCATTCGTCTGTGAGCACCACTAGTGGTTAAACCATGCGTAGGCCTTTTTGCAAATTGAAGAAACCCCTGTCCATCTGACTCGAGTCGAAGCTTTGAAATTTAAAAAAAACCATTCATCAAAATTTGGGGCACATGAAGACAGCCAGACATTTTCAAAATTTTCTCACAAACGGTTTCAAAATTTATCTTTAAGTTTTCTTGTCAGAATAGTGTAAAATACACTAATAAAAGTACATATGTTTGATTTTCTTAACTGAATTTTCAAAAATTTTGAAATTTTTGGGGAGTTTTTCTACACATGCAAAATTGAAGACAGTTTTTCCTTATAATAAAATTAGTTCTCCATAGTCAGTTTTTTCATTAAGGTCATGTACATTTTTTTTAAATTTTAGTTTTCTCACAATATGTGCAATTTTAAAAAATAACCCAAACAAGATTTTCTTAAAAACTGAACCAAATTTGTTCTATATACTTCTGGTAGGGATAATGCTATAGGTACTCTAGAAGATGTCAAAAATGTGAGTTTGCTTTTTCTTGTTTTTCCAAAAATTACAAATGCAATTTTTTTTACTTGCCTCCCATGTCGTTAATACTTACATTACTGGCGATTGGTTCACATTATTATATTTATGATTACATGATGATTACCCTCCTTCCTTGCATCTTCTATCTACATCATTTACTGACATTTCAGAAATAATTAACAAATTTCCTAATTTCTCCTTTTTTTCCTGTTCTATCGAGGAAAATCTTAAGGAATGTTAATTTTAACATTTAGTGTTTTGCCATTATGCCAGGTCCTAATAAAATGACTACCTCTTCAATGTGTTTTTGACTGGTCGACATGATTGGTAATTTTTTATATTACAATTTTTAGGCTGAATGATTTGGAGGGAGACGATAAACTAATGCATCGCACTTTGGTAGAAGCAATGATCAACACTGATCCCTCTCAAAGACCTCCAGCAAGTGCCATTGTTAAACACCCAATTTTTTGGAAAAATCACTCAATTCTTACATTCTTTCAGGTAAAAAATTGCATTTCTTAGTATTATAGTTTTATTTGCAGTGAAGACTATATACTCATCCTTTTAACAGGATGTGAGTGATCGAATTGAAAAAGAAGATCAGACAAGCAATGTCCTTCAGAATCTGGAATATGGATCACTTGTTGTAGTAAGAGGAGATTGGAGAAATCATATTGATGAAGAAGTTGCCCAAGATCTCCGGAAGTATCGAAACTATACAGGAACAAATATACGTGATTTATTGCGTGCCCTTCGCAATAAGGTAACAACTGAAATTATTTTCTTCATAGTAAATATTTAAGTTGAAAAATATGTTTGTGTTTTCTTATTTTGGGAGTAGGGAAAAGGATATATGTTGGGTCAGTTTTTAAAATATTGGCTGTTGTGCAGAAACTGCACTTAATGTGTGTCACTTAACATATGTATTACTTTCTACTAAAAGCTTGCCAGCTCATGACTAAGCAAATGCGTGCTTTTATGCCAGTACTTTGTTCACCACTTCTCTGTACCTAGTGTTCTTTGTGTTTTGAGAAATTTACAGAAGTTACCTTCCGACTTTTGCTAATATTTGATTATTTTCTTCTGAAACATATTTTAAATATAATTGGGGGTGATCTTCACAAAAAAATATAAGAGAGAAATATTTATATACAAGTACACAAGATGCTTTAATTTTCAGGTCAAAGGGCAAATGCAGTGGTGTATTGTAGGTGTCAAGGGTGGAGGAAATTTTCACCCTGCCCTTATTTAGGAATTTCAGTTTAAAAGACTTAAGTACACAAGCTTCCACAACATAGTAGATAGTTGGAACATGCAATTACATAAATAAAATATTTAATACATAGTCTAATACAATATTCAACAAAGTTCAATAATTAAACTATTACTACACTTATTAGCACTAACATCATAGTTTGGAAGGCGCATAGACATAAACGATTAGTGTGAATTTGATGACTGATGATCCATCAATGAAACTTTCTTTGAATTGTCAAAGCATAACGACAGACATCCCTGAAGGGGCTTATTCATACTGCTGTTAACAAATTTGCAGGTGTTATTATACAATAATGAACACTATTCTTTATCATAGAAGTCATTCTCAATAAATGTTAGTCATAAAAAATCCAAGCACAAACTAAAATACAGGAAATTTCTACAAGTCAATACAGATGGTGTACTACAATGGGTAAGATGTAAAATGATGTTCTTCAAAATGTTTATAACAATGTTTAATAAGCCATCACAGACGAAGTGATGAAATATTCCATGGTCATTTCGATCAGTCCAAATCATAGGTGCGACAAAATCATGAAATAAAATGGATCAAATTTTAACAAGAAATTATTGTTATTACTTAGCGCAAAATTTCACAGTGTCCCGGGCCACCCCTTCTTCGTTACACCACTGGTCAAACGAAAGTCCAGCAGTATTTATAATAAACATAATAAAATATTGCAAATTGATAAAGCAGAGCTTTGTCCAGATAGAAACGTGCCTGCAAATCTTGTCATCAGACCTGATGAATTCCCTGACAATGGCCCAGCATCAATCCAATGATTTTCTGGGCATTTTGTTGGTATTACTGTCTATCTTTTGATTAATTTTTGTACATTGGCACTTCTGGAATTGACACGAATTCCTGAGTAATAGAGCGCAATAGTCTAATTATGTTCCATTGATATATAATTTTTGACATAATGTGTTGGTAGGTTTAAGATTTAATAAATTATTGAATTATAGAAAATTGTATCAAAATTGGGTATTAAATAAATGGAATGAAGTATAAATCACTGTCACAATTATATTGAGAAAATTTTACTTCCTATATTATGAATAAATGGATTAAAAGAAGAAAAATTTATTTTCACTAGTCTTCCTCCTCAGCAGTCTGCTTCAAATTTTATATGATACGAGTATTTGTGAAAATACTTCTACAATCTGTTTAGTGAAGATTTGGTCTGCTATGATTCTTGTTCTTGGAAATATTTTGTTTTAAGTTCGAAGCTAAATCGGGGATACCATAATTATAACATTTGAATTCTTTCAAGTTTAAATTAGTGTATAATTTTAAATATATACATTCATTCTTTTTTTTCCAGAAACATCACTACCGTGAACTTTCAATGGAAGTACAGTCACGATTAGGAGATATTCCAGAAAAGTTTGTCGAGTATTGGACTTTTAGATTCCCACTACTATTAATGCATACATGGCATTCAATGCAGTGTGTGAAGGAAGAAGCTGTATTTTGTGGGTATTATCATGAGGAATACACCTTTAAAAATCCCATTGTAGATATATGGCAAGAAAATGCCTCAAATTATGTAGATAGTATGCCTTATGATTACCCTAGAAATAAAAATAATGAACATTTTAAAATACGATCTCTTAAAAATTCACCAAAGAAGAAACAATTTATGAACGGTAATGATGCTGAAATATATTCATCAGGCTTTCATCAATTACTACGCAGCAGGAAAAGTCCTTTAAAAAATGAGTACAGAGACAGTACAATTAGAAGAACACCTCCCACAGATGGAGAACAATTACAATATGAGACTGACTGGAGAAATTTAAATGATCCCACTCGTAAGTTCTGGAAAAACCTGGAAGCACTGGAACAACCTTTAAATGTTCCTTGTCAAACCTCCAAAAACATTTTCACCAGCACAGAAGCTCAAACATTAGATAACTATGTACAAATGGAAAATCAAAATGATTTCACGGTTGGTGCCTCTGGCATATTTGACAAGGGACTATCAACATTTACAATGAATAGAACAATTTTTCAAAATTCACAAATATCATCACCTCAAGACCAACTTTCCACATTACTTGCAAATAGTGAATCACATTCCACAGGAGATAAAGACACAACTGAAAGAAGGGAATATCGTGCAAGAAGAGGCAAAAAATCAAAACAGAAAAGTGTTGAAGTTCCCTTGCAGTGGACACTGCCACTTGATGAGACGTAAGAATTAATTTTCTTTAAAGTACGTTTAGAAAGTTTCACAGTTTTTATGGTATTAAACCTTTCACCATTCAAGGATTTAAATTTTTTTTGAACTGCAGCCAAATAAGACTTTGTTGAGATAGATTTATCTTACACTGACACATTGCAGTTCTCTTTTCTACAAATGAAAAGACAACCTAATAGCCTAGATTTGCCTATCAAGTAGGGTAAGGCAGAACTACATTGAATTCTCATGTTTTGAGAACTGGAGTTGGATAAAACTGTAAAACACAATATAATTTCCTTATGAATAGATGGAAAAACAATCCAACTATTTTAGTTCTGGGATTAGGGAATTTGAATTTACTCAAATAGCTCCCCTTTTAAAATTATTTATTTTCTGAAGAATTGTATTAAAGGTATGTACATCTTATGATATTCAGCAATTAATATTTTATTGCATATTGCCATGACTGACTGATAGGATTCTTGTGAAAGGCTAATTACTTTGAGGCACACACACACAAAGGAGGTAACCTATTTGTATTAGAAATTTGTGTGGGTTATGTACTTATTAATGGTGTATATAAAATATTGTTTGTTTTTTCCCCACAAATTGTTACATGTCTGTATGTATTTTATGTGTACCACCACAAACAGCAAATGTCTCATGCTGCTAAACAAATTGTAAGAAACAGTTTGTTGCTGATAATAATGTTTTTTGGTGGTTGTCGACATTTTATCTCACAAACAACTCTTGCAATAGTGTTAAAATGTCTTCATTTGTTAAGCATGGGATTTTCTAGTTCTTAAGAGGAGTACAGAAAAGATTAACAGTTTTAATTTGTAATTTGAGATTGTTTATGATTCAATCTGTTTTAACAATTTTAATTGTGCTATACACTTCAAAGGTCCAAACTCTGACTAGTAAAGGATTTGTAATTGGGTTCCATCTCTAGATTTAACTATTGGATTTTACCAACACCGAAAAAATATTCAGAAAATTGGAAATTGTTCAAATGAAACAACCATTAAAGAACAGAAAACATCCAGTGGTTCCGATATTTTTTTAATGGTCAATAATGTACAGAGGATGTAAGAACTTGTATTTTTGTGATACAGATAATTTGATTTATGTTACTGTTTGGACTGAACTTGATATTGCTCTCATGAAGAAATAACTTGAGATTCTTGGGCACTAAATCCAGATCTTTAAATGTTTGACCATTATATCAGCAGTTTGTCTGTCTCAAAAAAATAGACAAGATTATTCATTTTTTAATCCATATTGTGATTAATGTATAATTGAATAGGCAAAGTACATTTGACAAGTTCACTCCACATTACAAGCACACACACACACTCACTGGTGTTGTAACCAAGACCCAATTTTATGTTTAATTTCAAATTTTTGAAAAGATAAAATAATAACAATAATAAAGACACTTCTGATATAGTTTCATTCCTTCCTTATATATAGAAAAATGTAACTAGTATCCTTTTAATTTTTCTGTTTTCATAATACCTTAGTGATGACATCAGTGACTAAAATTTGTTTGTTCAATATAAAACAAAGGACCATAGTTGTCCAAGACCCCAGTTATTTTCATTTTATACGGAATGATGGCCATAGTAAGTTTTTACTCACATTTTTTTATTATTTGTACATGAATACTTCAATTTAAAAATTGTTTTTCTGTTAAATATTTGTAATTTGAATGTTTCAGGCAATCGCTCAAGGATCTTTGCAAACTTTTATACTTAGATGTGTAGATTTGATAAAGATTTCCTTTCTGGGCATTGCTATATTGCGAGGTTGCCCAACTGGCAGCCTGCGGAAGGTTATTAGACAAATGTGAAAGTACCTTCCATGTTAGACAAGAATATTTGTGTCTAGCACACTTGCTGTTGAGGTCAACACCCCCTTAATGTAAAAATAGAGTAAGTTCATATTTAAGGACTTTTTCTGCTAAACTCAGAAATTCAAAATCATTCCGTATTTTACTGCATATGCGTAGTTCCGTCCCCCCCCCCCTCAGAGCCAGGCAAACTGCAAAGGTCTACAATACAGGGAAGTCAGGAGTGGATCACTCTAGTAATGAAATACAGCCCGCAACTATATTAAAGGTTTTAGTTGTGGCCCTCAAGGTCTTGCAAGTTGACACCCCTGTGCTATTGTTTTGTGAGCGATACGTAAAAGGGGTGTGTAATGGACATTCATTCTTGGAAGAAAGGAAAGAAAAGAAAGAGAAAAAAGACGGAAGAAAACAAAAACTCTAGTAAATTCTTCATCTGAGACATTTGAATCAGATTCACTGATGATTAAATGTTACCTGTTTTGGGAAACACTAAAGAGCAAGCAAAGGAGTCAAAAGTTTTATCAGCTTATTATAAAATTCAAGTTCACCTCAATCCAGAAGAATGTGCAAAGTTCAAACTGTTTCATTTCATCATTCGAAAATTGAAATAAAATTTTGGAGGCTTATGTGGAATACAAAACAATTTTTCTAAAAACTGGAATACAGATGTATTTCATATAATACCTTAATTGTGGGAGTTCATTTCCTTTAATAAACAAGAATTATCCTCTTGATAAATTTTACAAGCAAAAGTTAGGACCCAATATTTGATGTATTCAAGGAGGAATATTGGTCAAGGACTCTTTTTAAGGGCTAGAAGATAGCAATTGGTTCTTCAAGAGACTGGTCATAATGGGAAGTTACTTCTTGCACGTAGATACCAAGTACCATTGATATTTGACTCAAATTTTTATCTGAAGGCGAGAGCAAAGCACATAAAAAGACCAATTTTTTTCTTTCCTCTTTATTTTTATATTACAAAATGTATTCAGTCATGAAATGATTTATAAATGGCCATTGAAAATAAATATGATGCATTTTAAATTGTTTGTAGTGGTATTTTGAAGATTTAGGAAAACCTAGACACGACTGTATTGTTCAGAGGCATTATTTCATGTGTGTTACAATGTTTTATGAAGATTAATATTCTTCTCTTATATGAAAGATGTTCACAACTTCTATGTATATAAAAAGCTGTGCTGTCAGTATTCAAACTGTGATATTTGTTAGTTTTATACACATGAAAAATATTTGTTGGTTAAACTTACATTGATATACTACAGGATATATATTTGTTTTGTGTCTTTCCTTTTATAAAGACTCATAACTGTTTAAAATATTATAAATGGAATAATATATTTAAAAATATTATAAAAATAAGTTATGTCTTTTATTTGCAATATTTCTATTTCCTTTTTCTCCAGCCTGAAAATCCAGATATATAACAAGCATGAATGCTTTTATAAATCCAAATTGCAAGCAACTGCATTAAAATTCCAAACAATAACCAAACATACATACATTATTATTACAATGTCTTTTCCCTTCCATATTACATTAGATAAGGTTAATTTTTATTATTTTTAAGGCTTAAATTCCTACACTGCATTCATTAGCTCATTTGTTCTTTAAAAATGTTCCTAGAGCAGATTTCATATGCAATGCCTTCAACAGAATTTTCTTTCTCTTTGTATTTGCAGGGAGAATTCCTCTTCGTTGAGTTGGAGAAATGACACTCCCTACAAACTGACATGTATTTATCAGCTCCACCAATCACTTCCAACTATAAAAATAAAAAAAAATAAAAATTAAAGAACAGACAGTACCTCATTATCTCTAAGAAGTTTTATTATCCACTTTCAAATATTAAACAAAAACAAATTTTCCATTTAATGCATTGCAAAACCAAAAACCGTTTTAATTATATTTAATTTCTTTTTCAATTAAAATAAGAACTGAATTGAAATCTGACTTTGGAAAAAATGACATTACAGGCATTTTACAGTACTTCACAACTGTATTTTGTATTTAAACACTTAAACACAGATTGCTCAATATATGAACAAAACAGAAAAAGGAAATAAAGTGAAGCTGTGCAATCTTAAAATATATACTATAGCTACATCTTCAGTGATAGATTCATAATCTCAAATACAATTACAAGCTCTCCCAAAGTGAATATTCATATTACTACACTACAGTTCATTAATTTAATGTTTGAATGGTCTTGGGAATAATTTATGAGACTAATATTTTACTAGTTATATACAACTTGAGCAACAATTAACAACCAATGACATAACCAACCATTAACATCCTTTATAATTCTGTGCCAAAACAAGAATGGGAGGGGGGATGAAGATCTTATCAAGTTTCCCTTCATTATAGGACACTGGAAGCTTCCATTTAATGTAATCTCAGAAGTATTAATTATGTATAACAATAAAGTTGTTTCACACAAAGTTCTACCAATCAATGGTATTCATTGTATCATTAAAATATAATTTGTCTTTAACACAACTTTGACATCCAGTAACTGACGTATCAAAAATGATCCTAAAAAGCATTCCTTGGAAAATTTCTTTAAAATATTTCTTTCCTTCAGCAGAATCCCTTACAACATTCCCTAACTAGGCCCTAGATGTTAAGACACTAAAAATAAGTGAGGCAAAGCACAACTCTTAATATGAATATTTAAAATTAGCAAAAAATGTATAACTCCTTTCCAATAATCCTTTTCTTTCATATGAGAAAAAAAATCTCATAACTTTTAAAACCTGAGAAAAAGTATTTTTTATTCCCACTAATATTTTAATGAAGAATTTTCAAATATGGTCTATGTAGTTTCACTCAGTTTTATAGATTATTCAGCACATTATTACATCTTCAATTGTTGCAAAAGGGGAATTTTTATATCAATTGGTACAGAGCCCTCATCGGGGGCTTAAATTTTGGTATCTTAGTATGCTTAACTATTTAACGGATTGTTAGCGATACTGGGTGATACTTCGCATTGTAAAAATAAACACACATTAATCTGGCTTGGTTCACATTTAAACACAGTGGATATGAGTGACCTATGCTAATTTTGTAAATTAACAGCCTTCTTCCCATACAGTGAATTTCACTTGACAACCTCTCTGTATACTTCGTCACTTTTACACCACTAGAAAAAGTCCATTACTTGGAAGAAGAAAAACCTACACTTTGTTAATACCTGAATCGACATTTCTTACAATAATTGAATTAATAATTATTAAAATAATTAAATTAAATATTTATTTTCTTACCCTCTCCTTCCATTCTAACCTCTCTATTTATATACTAATTAACAAAACATACTAGAAATAACATTTGGAAGTTCAGATTGTTCTAAGAAGTTACTTCCCATTAGTCATTCAGTGAAATGTATTGATGCTCTTAATATATCTCCAATTCTATTAGTATTCTCCTGAAGAGATATATGAAGTGTTACACAAGAACTCGTTCTTTTTCTTAAACCAAAATTTATGTAGATTAAACATTTCAAGAATTATCATGCCAAGTAAAAATGTAATATTTAAAAATTACTCCCCTTATAATCACCTCAACACAAAATAAATTACTTTTCCACATTTTCATGAAATAGAAAATCACTTAAAAATACAAAAAATATTTGAAACCATACCTCGCATTCATTTGTTGTTCGCTTAGTGTAGGATGCATCTTTAAAACATTTCATACACACTGCACTTAATTTTACAACACTCTCAGCAAGGGGAACCAAATTTAAAATATCACCAAACGGCAGTCTTTGGTATGTTCCATCAAGGGCAGCAACAATTACTATTTTTCCTTTATTAGCCAACTTTTCTGAACATGACACTATGTCAGCAAACTAAAATAGAACAAAACACCCATTTTATCCACAAGTGAAACTTTAATAGTATGCATTGTATTATTCTACATTTATTCACTTGATAATTATTGATTAGAGAGAACCTTCTTGAGAATTTGTCAAGAGGGCATGAAATTTTTTATATAAATACTTACAAACTGCCCTTCATCAACACCTATCACATCGTAACCATCTGCATTCACTCCTGACAATGTTTCTGCGTTCAATGCTGGAAGGGTTTGGTGATCATGACTGGAAATGGCTTCCAGTCCATACCTAACATCATTTGCATACTTCACAATTAAACATTTATAATTTGCAATTTCATAACGCCGTAAGCGCCGAATTAATTCTGTGGTCTTTCCCGAAAACATAGGGCCAAATATAACCTATTAAACAAAAAAATAAGAACAAACAAAATAAAACAAAAGAAACGAAAGTAAACAAAGGAAAAAAATATGTCTACAAAACTTCTGAGACTATTGAAATAGAAACAGCATTTGGAAATTAAATGCAATTGGCATTTGGAAATTAAATGCAATTGAACACGCATGATTAAGGAAAAAATACAACACAAAAAGAAAATTTGCAGGTACAAATCATAATATCAAAAACTGGTCTTAAAACATTCAACAGGTGATTTACATTATTCATCACAGGCAAGGTGGTTCAAAGAGGGAACCTTATAAATAAAAACTCATGTTTATTGATGAAGATTTGTAGCCTATTTATTTTGAACAATTTTTCATTACATTATACATGAGAGTAAAAAAATATACAAAAGAGAACTCTGATAACCATCTTAAGAATACTGATTACAAAAACAGCTTTGAAGCAAACGTTACACTCAGAACTGACAAGCAGCTCTCAGCACTTGGACTAGAATAAGCTCAGCTCATCTAGCCCACAATAACATCTACACAGGACTTAAAGAGTACTAAGTGGTAAGTAACAATAAAATATTTTCAGATATATTTTTACAACATAAAAGTGTTAAACAAGTTCATGCAAGTATAAATGCAATAAAAAAAGGTGACCAATACTGGAAAATCTAATTAGCGATTAAACAAGAAATGAGAATCTTGACTAGCATCTCTTATAATATCAAAAAAGAGGTTAAAGAACATCGCATTTAATTTCAAAATATCATTCTAGTTTCAATTATTATTGAGCAAAGAGAGAGGGAGGGGAAAGAAAAGAAACAAATTCTTTTTACCTTATACTATACAGATCATAATATTATCATTAGTAATTTCACCCTGCTAGAAAAAATTAAGTGTTGAGATAATTCACTGCACACTTTCATGCAAAACTAGTAACAATTAATACTACAGAAACATTAAAAACAATTTGACTCTCTTTATCGTCCCGTATTCAAAGCTCCAGAATACTATTATTAAAATAATTAGAAAAATCAAAAAAATCTAAAAATGAATATCAATTCACCTCACAGTTAATAACTTTATAAAGTGTAAAACTTTCAGATCTAATATTTTCAGGTACCAACACTTTTCAAAAAAAGAAATGAAGGTATTTACTCATTTTTTCCAACAATTAAAGTTTTTAATCTGTTTTATCTTCTCTTTTTCACCATTCAATACACTACATTATTCATCTTTTACACGAAGATTTGCAGCCTGGCGCTACTGTAATATACATATATAGAAAAATACATTTCCCCTCTTCAATAAAAATCCAAATGATTACGAAGGATTCTGAATTAAAGTTTCTGCATTCTTCAACATATGCACCATAGTAATTGACAAGTTTTCTTCTGCTTCTTCCACTGGAGTCTTTCCATTTATGTTCTTCAAACGTAATTGGGGAGAACTTTTCAAAATCAACTTAACTAGTCTAAGGTTATTAGCATAACAAGCATAATGAAGCGGAGAATTACCTCTCGCATCTTGCGCATTCACATCACAATCACTTGTTTGGAGTAACAAATCAACCACTGATAATCGCTGATTCTGGCATGCAAGATGTAGAGGTGTGACACCTTTTGATCTAGTGTGAACATTTGTATGAGCACCAGAATCTAATAAGAGACGTACCATTTCTTTATGCCCATGCAATGAGGCCACATGCAGTGGAGTGAAGCCTTCAGAATTACACACATTTACATTGATAATCTTCCTTTCAGATTTCTTCTTTAAAATAACCACTGTATCACATGGTCTGCATTTTTCGCAAGTACACAAAGGATGACAATATGATTTAATATCACTTAAGCTATCTTCACTATCTGGAACTGAATCTTCCAAACCCATATAGAAACATGCAAGTCTTATATCACCCTGAGCAATAGCTCTTAACACTTTTTCTACTTGTTTCATCTGATCTGTAGATTGAGGGCGATATGCAGAATGAGTATTCTTGCTCTTTACAGAAAGATTTTCACTATCCTCTGTTAAGTCTAATGACATTTTGGCAGCAGCAGTCGCAACACTATCGTTAAAATTATCCTTTGCTATCAATTTGAAAGTCTGAACACTTCGGCTCTTCATTTGATTTGTTAATTGTCGTGATATGTGCAAATTATGAGCTACATCCAGAGCTGTTAAATGTCGTTTATTTGGAATGTCAGTTAAAGCACCATAATCAAGAAGAATTTGTACTATACCTTCATAACCCCAACGAGATGCATGGTGTAATGGTGTATCACCATAACTGTTCATGCAATTAACATCCAGATGGCAATCAATATGCTCAGCGAAGTACAGCAAAGCTTTCACACATCCCTCATGGCCGTTATTCACAGCGAAATGTAATGGTGTGTTGCCGTCGTTGTCTTGCACATGCATGTTACACCCAGAATGGACCAATAAAAGAACAGCATTTTGATGCCCTTTAGCTGCAGCATAATGAAGAGGGGTAGAACTACTATAGTCCGTAGCATCAACATTTGCGCCGTGATTAATTAAAAGATCTACAATAACAGCCTGGCCAAACAAACTAGCAACATGTAAAGGTGTGAATCCTCTGTCATCACATGAATTGATAGTAGGCGTTGTATCACACAAATGTTTTGACAAAGCACTTTCACATTTATCACAAGAACATAAAGGATGACATAGTTGGAGCAAACTTTCATCTGCTGTTTCACTCTTCAAATTTTTTTTTTCCAGAACTTCACTTACTAAATCCACATTTCCTAATCGTATTTGATCAAAAAAGTACCCAATTCCAAGAGTTTTGCCTCTTGATTGCCCATTAGTTCCACTTCTTGAAGATTCCAAGCTTGTTGGTAAAACTTCATCTTGACCAATCTGTGCTTCTGGATCTGAAGGACCCAGAAGAATGCCACTTTTAATATGTTCAATAGCTGCTTCAAGTGATGTTATGAGAAAACTATGTTCGTCAACTCCTCTTGAGACTGCTGCAGAGAAGTGAAATTCCTTCATATAGGTCAAATGAGCAATCCAGTTGGGAAGACCAGTTTTAATTACGAGGAACACTATCATTGGCAACAGATCATCAGCTGAAATAGCATTAGCAATACTTAGTTCCTTGACATCCCCAACATTCTGTCGAGATATTGAAGACACCATGCGTTTTAAACATCCTATCTTTCCAAGAACTGTGCTGTAGCAGTCGATTCTTGCTAATTCTTGTTTTGCCCAGGGAACTGCATTATACAGATCTGTTCTGATACCAAGATCTCTAAGTTGTATGTCAGAAAGATTTCTGATAGTTTTATTCAAATTAGAATCTTCAATGGCTGTACAAGCAGTTATGCCCTTTATCAAGCTTTTATAAATGCCATGGTGCATATAGGTTTCAACAGAGAGCTTCACATTTTCTAACAAATGCTTATCCAACATTGTTCTTTCTCGTAATCTACTGTCATGTAAAGTTATCTGCAAACATTGTATGTACAAATTCCCTACTAGGTCTTTTTGAATTTGCAATGGTTCAAATTCAAACCTGTCATTGCATAAACAAAAACTTTTTACACGCTGATCTAATTTCTCTAAAATATTGGGTCCACTACATTCAGTCCACAACAAGTCAATACTCTCTCTCAAAGTATTAATTATCAAAAAATCAGTTAAATCTTTCTGCCCTGATCCCAAATGCATCAACCGTTCCAATGGATTATCAATACATAGTACTTTATACTTAAGGTCGTCGTTGTAGAAAGTTTCTTCAAAGAGAATATGAGTAATGCAGGGGCGTGAGATGTCTTCCTGTTCCACAGTGATAACACGGTTAAGAATCCGTACTTCTCTGTCATTTAGAGTTCGAAAATGACTTTCTGGAAGTTCGTCACTAGGTATCAAAATGTGCCCGAAGAAATCCTCGTGAGTCAACGCATACTTAGGTACGGAACCAGTTCGAGGAACACAAATTATCCATCCTTCGATAGTGGCCTTCCGGAACACTTCGACATGGTCAGTTTGAAGTATTTGGAAAAACGGATTTTCTGTCAAATCTTCATCATAGTTTTCCATTATGTTGCAACAGCTTTTAAGAAATAAAAAGCACAGAGGCAAAACGTTACCCCTCGAAGCATTACATAATATGTTGTAAATTATGATCTAAAAGCAGTTGAACATTAACACGCAATTTGACACCAAGAATTACAAATTAATACAAAACCGTTCCAATTATTATTCTAGTTACACCCAATTATTTAGATGCAATGTGCAACTGCCTAAAACTTCCTTATACAACTTCTTGTAACCTCGCCCGCTTACGGCTATCCGGCTGTCCTCTTCACATGACAGACCGCTACTACCACAGCAGCGAACGCGAAAATCAAAATACCTCTTTAAAATGCAGATTCCAAGTGATATTTCAATAATCTTGCTCCAGCGCAAAAAACTTTAGTATTTGTTTCCGTAAATATGATGCATAGAAATATAAATAATAAATGTACACACCTGTATTTGACCCTTGCGTACGTTTTCCATGTCGTAAAACCTGAAGAACGACATATCGATGTTTACAAATTATACAGCGATGTTAAAATGCCTTGAACTGAATTAAAAATAAGATATATAGTAAAACTTTTTCCCCCGACTGACTGAGATGAACTAAAATATGCTTGCAGGAAGGTAGCCAGAAAATACGCTGTGTAAGGTGAGCGTAGAGCCAGCGAAGGGAAAAATTGTTGTTCCCGCGCTTTCAACAGGGCAGGCAAGACCAGATCAGGCGGGAACATGCAATTTGCGATTTCGTTTCTGTTTACGCTATACTACATACGCCACTCCCTTTTTCAATGTACCGGATGCATTATTTATATTTTTAAATAAACAAAGCAAGCATTTTTAGTTTTAGATTATTTAGACAAATGTTCGAAATTAGCTTTAAATGCAATGCGAGAGATAGAGATTAAACCATTTATCTCTTTATTTTTTAATTATCCATCTCGACATTGAAATAGAACACCTGCAACATTGGCTCTGAACAGTAGAAACGCTTTTTGATCGGTCATATTTTCCTCCCCCCCCCCCCCCCCCGCAACGCCAGTATTGCCCACCGATTGCGATGGCCTATCCGGCTTTGCGGTATGTGAAATTCCCCAGTGGGGGACGGAACGTAGTGTCAGTGGTCTTCTAGCAACCTCTTCTTCTGCTGCATGCCTGCTTACATGTGTGAATGACGTCTTGTACGGGGAAAAAAGAGTGCGTGGGAATGACATTGACGTAGTCACTGCATCGCATCTTCAGATTCAGTACTCTTCTGACTTCGTGGACTTTAGTTCATGCCTATTTTATTACTTTTGAGTGATATTTGAAATGGAACCTACGCCTTTCTTGTGAATGTCCCGCAAACAGAAAAGGAAAGTTACTTTCTACTTGAAATTAGGTTAAGTCAAAGCCGTATTTATATATTTCTGTGAGTAGCGTGCTGTTTGACAGCACACATCCCCGAGCGGTAACGTACACGTGAAGCGTAGCGGACGTAGTAGGCGTGTTGGAACAAGGTACCGTAGCATGGTGCATAATTTTTAACGTTTCCATTTTAGTCTAGAACATTGACGTGAAACTCAGGTATGACTTGTGTGTTTTGGAGACTAAATTTGTACTAGAGTTTGCCAGTGTGAGTTTTAAAAAGCCCACGAGTCGTATCGTTTTTAAAATAACAAATAGTAGGAGGAAAATACTAATGTGTCGTAGAGCGTACACTCTTTTCATTTACAGATCGTTTTCAATGCTCTGTTTCTCTTGTTTAGATTTAAAATGGGTTCGTGGCCTGAAAACGTCGGAATTCGTGCAATCGAGCTTATATTTCCTTCTCAGTATGTTGATCAAACCGAATTGGAGAAGTATGATGGAGTATCTGAAGGAAAATACACAATTGGACTTGGTCAAGCAAAAATGGGCTTTTGTGGTGATAGGGAAGACATAAATTCTCTCTGCCTTACTGTGGTCAGCAAGCTTATGGAAAGAAATAATATAGGTAAGGTAATATTTGTTCTTATAATTATTGCTGATTTCATTTACATTGAACTAGTTTATGTTGTACAGTGTTTGTTTGTAAAACAAAATTTGTTTATGTAGGCAAATACTGAGAGGAAAGTATTGCCCTGGAGTTTGTAATGGGAGGAAGGAAAGTTCCTGTAAACTTTCACCTGTGTGTCACTTTTCTGACCTTATTTTTGTATACCAAGGTACTTTCTTTCCAGGACATCTAAGACCAAACATATCATGTAATGGTAAAATATTTTTGAGAAATACCATGAATTGAACAAACTTAATTCCATATTATTGATATTTATTTCAGCACAAACTTGAGAAGAGACAGACTGGCTTTGAGCATATTTTGGACATATTTTATAAAGAGATATTTGTGATTTATGAATTACAATAATTGTTAGTAGTGCAATAATGGAAGTAAATATTTGGAAAATAACTTTTTTCAGATTATGGTTCCATTGGGCACTTAGAAGTAGGTACAGAAACACTCTTGGATAAATCCAAAAGTGTGAAGAGTGTTTTGATGCAATTATTTGAAAAAAGTGGCAATACTGACATTGAAGGTGTGGACACTATAAATGCGTGTTATGGAGGAACAGCTGCCTTATTTAATGCTGTTTCATGGGTTGAATCAAGTGCATGGGATGGTTGGTTCAAGTTTTGTATTTATTTTGAATTTATTTTCCCTGTTCAATCTTTATGCATTTGGTTTTGAATGGCAATTGCAGGTCGTTTCGCCCTAGTCGTTGCTGGTGACATTGCAGTTTATGCCAAAGGTAGTGCCAGACCCACAGGAGGGGCAGGTGCTATTGCTATGTTAATTGGGCCAGATGCACCTCTAGTTATGGAAAGAGGTATCTTTAATCATTCACTAGTGTTGTCCGTTAGTTGCATAAATAGTGTTTTTATCTATAATTTTCTTTTGTAAAGGTGTTAGAGCAAGCTACATGAGACATGCATATGATTTTTACAAGCCAGATTTATCATCTCAATATCCAACAGTTGATGGAAAACTTTCTATTCAGTGTTATCTTAGTGCCTTAGATCATTGCTATCAATTGTATTGTTCTAAAGCTGCAAAAATGCTGCCTTTAGGTAAGATCCTACTTGCTGTTAATACAATATTAAATTGTATTTCATGGCAATGTTTTATTTGTGTTTCTTTGTGTGCAGAAAATGGGGTGAAAAGATTTCAGTTAAATTATTTTGATGCAGTATTGTTTCATTCCCCGTATTGTAAATTGGTGCAGAAATCTTTGGCTCGATTAATGCTGAATGACTTTATTTTGACCGATAAGAAAGAGATCCCAACCAAATACCCTGGCTTTGAAAAGTTCAGGTACGAAGATTGTGTTTTATAGATTTAAGTTTCAGTAAGGGCAGTATTCTAACCTCTTAATTTACAGTGATGTGAAACTTGAAGAAACATACTTTGATAGAGATGTCGAGAAAGCTTTTATGGATCTTAGTAAGAAAGTATTTGAAGAAAAGACCAAACCTTCATTATTACTAGCGAATCAAGTGGGAAATATGTATACACCATCTCTTTATGGTGGTTTAGTTTCATTATTAATCAGGTACATGTGAGATGTGTTATGTGTATATTGTTCATTCAGATTTTTCGCATTTTTAAGTCATGAATGTGTGTGGATATCCACGTTTGCATTTGCAGCAAAAATTCTGACATGTTGACTGGGAAACGAGTAGGGCTTTTTTCATATGGATCTGGACTAGCATCTTCCATGTACTCAATTCGTGTGACAAGTGATGTCTCAGCCTTTGAAAATTTAACAAAGAATTTGTCACATATCAAACCTCTATTGGAAAAGAGAAGGTGTATTTCACCAGAGGAATTCACAAAAATGATGGAATTGCGAGAACAAACGCATCATAAAGGTAAAATTATTTAATTGAAAAGGCTGTAAATGAACTTTCTGTAAACCCATTTTATTTTTTACATTTTTTTTTCTCAGCTCCGTATGCTCCTGAGGGACCAATTGATGGTCTTTTCCCTGGGACGTGGTATCTACATGAAATAGATGATATGCATAGGCGTACATACAAGAGAGTCGCTTTATGAAATGCTTTATAGCATTGATGTTTTTGGCAGCTTCAGTTTATGAAGTAAATTTTTCAGCTGATTTGTATAATTTCTATAGGTAGTTTATAAAGTATATATTATATATTTACATGACATTGTTACAATCAATTTTTAAAACAATTTTATGCATATGTTACCCAAAAATAAATGTTAACAAATACCTTTTTATTTAACATTTTAATAACTCCTTATACCATGTTTTATTAAAACCTGAAAACTTCCTCATCCGATGGCCAAGCCTTGTCCCTTCAACCGGCTTCCAATTCTCTGTAATTCTTTGCGTGTCCCAACTTTTTTGGTTAGAAACAAAATTGTTTTATCACTTTTCCTGTCTCCAAAATTTTAATTAAAAATTTATGGAGAAAGATTGCCTTATGCTTGTTTCCGATTCTTCCCTACAGAGAAATTTAATTAAAACGCGTAAAGAAAGGGTCGATACTTCAGTTCAGCTTTTAATATTTTTACTGAACTGAACTTTCCTGCAGGTTTGTAATGAACTGCGTGGCAACACAATTTTTGTTGATAGGATTCATATTACAAAAAAATGGATAGACCTGAATTCAAACTTTTTAATTAAGGACTTTTCTGGTTTGTTTGAAAACGCAATGAAAAATTATAATTAATGATATTGTGGTTCATGGCAACAAGCCTCAACTAATTGATGTAACTGAAGTATACCAATGCCTTTGAAATAGTCTGCTGGTAATAACTTCCATGGGTCCTTACTATGTACAAAAATTAAGTTTAAAGCTCTTCAATGTTAAGCTTGGCTAGTTCATTGACTTCTTAAAGCTGCAGTCCCCATGCCATGTATTCCTTGCCCAATATACAAAACTCATTACAAAACTTTCATTGCATACAATTGTATTATACAAGATTGTGTGTTTTAGATGGTTAGTGGAATGCAAAAAAATCAGAAAGACTACTGCCGCAAGGGCCAGTAATCTGTATCTTTCAAGAAAATCTACAAGCTTGTTTGGATCTTACATCCGACAAACTTAGTTTTGATTTTTAAGACAGTCATTAACACTTTAATGGGAATGGAATTTCAAAGGCTTTTTCAATTTCTATGAATTAAAAGGAAGTGGTGGTACTTTAAAATGATAGTGCCAAAAAAATGAGATGATGACATTTTATAGTAAAACTACATCAAGTTTGAACATTTGCAAGATATAATATTGTTAAACATAAAACAATATTTGTTGCAAAAGTGAGCATTTTACAATTTGTAAATGAACTCAAAAATTACTCACAGCTTAGTTCTAGTGAAACAAATATAAATCAAATGTGAAAGGCAAAAACCTTATTTTATTTTAAACATTTAAAGTAGTATATCTCTACTAGAAGAAGCAACAATTCTAATCAAATCATAAAAGTTGAGACTTTGTAGAAATGGTTACTGACATTGAACCTAATATGATCTAATAAAGTTGATTGAATACAACAGTTTCACTTACAATAATACATGGAATATATTGGGAGACCAATAAAGGAATTTTCATCTAAGCATTTATTTTTCAATTACATGCCAAATAATTCACTACACTAAAAATATTTTTTGGCAGTTAATTTAAATTAACTGCAGGCAAGAAATCAAGTCGACTAGAACATACAATATTCAACAGAAAAACTCCAAATGAAGTCACAACATAATTGATAACAAAAACATCAAGATTTTTATACAAGCAAATGTCTGGAAATACATAATATAGGTAATTCTCTTTTAAAAAAACACGCTTATGCACACACACACACACACTTTTTCCATTGCACAGTTTACAACAAAAAAAGGATACAACTTACATATTCTGAATAAATGTATAAAAATTCAGTGACTAGTGTAGTTCAATGCAAATATCTCGTTCACACTTATTACTAGGTATCAAGCTTCAACGGGACAAGCATGTTATAAATGAGAATTATTAATGAAATTCCCATTGGCAAAAATATTATTAGGATCCAAGTTCTTCTTGGTTGCTTTGTACAATTGAACCCCCAAATCAGTCACTTGTATTGGATACCATTTTGATCGTAATTTACCAACACCATGGTGATGAGAAATGCTACCACCCGAAGCAATTATTTCATCTCTTGCTATACTTTCCAGTGTCTCGTACGTGTTCAGGGGATCTTTAACACCAGTCCAATTAAAACCAAAGTAGAAGTAGATACAGCATCCAACATCATAAGTCTGAGTGACTCGATATGACAGAAGATATTTCTTTACTCCTCGAGCTGCAAAATTTTGCAATCATTTGAAAATATACAAATTTATTCAAAATTCATTATTTTAAAAAATACACTTTAGTGTTAAAGTATTGAAATACCTTCACATTCTTGAGATATGCGATGCTTCACATTGTGACAAAGAGAGACAACACGGTCCCAGTTAACAGATGTTTCAAAAGATTCAGCAGCCACTTTGTAATCTAATCCCAAATCCTAGAAAAAGCATTTCTTTTACAAATTCATCATAAGAGAACAAACAAGTTTCAAAAAGGCCCGAACTGAACAAATCAGTAATTATCTCATCACAAAATAAAAGAGAAGAAAAAACAAAAAAAACAACTGTAAACAACAAATGGTGTACAAACATCTTTTTGTATTATTTTATCAGTTATGTAATAATTTTATAATAACATGATTATAATAATTTTATTGTACTTTGTATACTACGAATATTTCAACTCTCTTTGGCCAAAACTCATCACTAAACTGGTTGTGACACACCATAATACATGTCCATTTCTTAATATCTAAGACCCTCTTCATTGCATATTGGTCTCAATGGCATTTATAAACACAGAATTTATACTTCTGAATAACATTCAATAGACTATATTGCCATGATGGCAATATTCTAAAGGGTTATCAACGTTAAATACTTCAGCTCTTGCATACTTCAATAACAATTTCCCTTAAAATTCACAAACATGCAAACTGCAGCTATTGGAATATGACAGAAGAGCGAAAGTCTTTTCAGACAAAACAATTAGAGATGTGTCTGAGAAAACATTGTTAGAGCATTTTTTCAAAACACCAACTGCCTAACGTTTGGCATTTTGAGAAACTTACCAGACCATTTGAAGTTTTTGCATCATAAACGCAATCAGTTCATGAATGCTCAGGCAGTTTCAAAGTAATTACAAGTCCCTTTTCAACTTCGTTTTGGAAACAATTTTTCAGATCTCTATCTGAACAAAAAGTTTAAAGCAATACTTGGTGTTGTTTTTCTGAAATTTATAAGGTCTTTGAAGAAATTTGATTTCAAGTTACACTAAAACTCTTTTACAAATTTGGAGTATTCTGAATACCTCCTCTCCCCCCGTAACAAGAACTTGAACCCCCATCTAATAATTACGTAATGCTGGAGACAAGCCCCCCACTGCTATAGTACAAGACTGAATAAAGATAATTACTTGATAATTATTATATAATTAAATGATGAAAGATTTTAAAAATACATATCAGCATTATGTAACACCCCCTACTCCTATGTAACGCAATGTAATGCTGCCTCAAACCCCCCTCCACCCATCTTCAGCGTTACGTAATTAATGAACGACCTCTTACATTGTAAGGAAGTCTCCAGATATATCAAAAATTTGAAATGCACATGTCTTTTCACCAAAGAAGTTCTTTTTTTCTGTACCCTTATAATCATGGTCAATTCCTCCAATACAAATGTCAAAATGTGGCATATCTGATATATCAGTAAATATACTTTCAAAAATTACCAAAGATCAAAATTTTAATTCAAAATTTTTTTCTCTTCAAAACACTTTTCAGGGATTGATCATTTTTTTATCCTCCTGGTTTGGGTTTGATCGAGGCAAGCAGATTTTAGAAAATACTAGTCTGAAATTAGGTACAATCATCATCAGAGAGCAAAATAAAAAAGTAAATATAATAATACAGAAGGTCCAAAAAATGTATATACTCTTTGACAGTGAATATATTTGGAATGGTAAAACATACAGCTGTGATGCTTGCTTGCTATTTCAGTTGAATGTTTTGTTATAATAGGATTTATTTATCCATGCACTTGATGTAAATCAGCTATTTAGGGGTTTCATTCAATCGGGAGCTTGAACGTCCCCATTGTGACATGCAAGGTCTAGACTGGATGAAACAGTAACAGCTGATTTACATCAAGTGCACAACTAAATAAATCATACTATACATGTTCTTACAACTACTTGTTGCTGCCTCTGAACTGCTGACAGTGAATACATTTTTCTTGGACTCCTGCTGGATTAACTGAAGCAAGAAATCTTGAACAAGTTGCACTGACAGCCATTCTGGGCTGCAACTAACCCACAGTCCACAGTAAGGCATACAAGCCTGCATTAAAAAGTTTTGAATTTTGAAAAATTACACATATATAAAATTTTGGAACCTCTTGCACATTCTATGTTCCAAGAGTTACTGTGATTTAATGCTTTTGTGATCACAAAAACTTCAATTGAGCTCATAAAATCATAAAAGCTTTTGTAAATAGTCCAGCCCCAAAACAGTTTCCAATAATTTTGATTCAACGATTAGGGGTCTGACAATTAAAATTTTAAAAAACAGACTCGATTTTAATAAAACAATACTTACATTACCAAATTATTGGAACAAAAACTGAACAAGCATTTTAATAACAAAGTACTTTAAAAATTGTTTTCTACAAAATCATTCTACAGGATTGGCTACTTGTCAGCAATACTTTCATTAATCATCAAAATGGTTACAAAAGGATGATATTATTTAAAGCACGCAAACTTCTGAACATTACTTCTTAAGGAACAAATTTGTTGAATATCGTTCAAATATGGTCAACCCCTTTGTATATTCAAATTCTACATATTACATGGCTACAAAAAAGAACACAGTCATGAAGGCAGCAAAATAACAATTTTCCTCATAAAATTTTAGGAAATTGACTTTGTGTATCGAATTTCAAGTATTGTAATGTGATAGTGATTTGAAAGATTTAGTTGAAATGATAGAAGTACATTTGCAAATTAATTATCATTTTACATAAAGTAAAATGAGAAAGTACATTCTATATTAAAGCACCATTAGTTAGTATTTTTTACCCTGTTACACTACACGGGAATATAATTCCCTAGTTGTAGTTTTGTTTACCACTACAACTACAACATGACAAGTACTTGGCATTCAACACAAATTAATCTGTTTCACATAAAGTTTACAAAATTTTTATTTACAGTATTTTTTAAGATTATTAAAAAAATTGTATGTACTATCAAATTTCTTTTGGAAATAGAATGAAAAATTCAACTTACACGAATGTATGCAATAACAAAAGTTAACATGTAACCACGTTCACCATTCTTTTCACCGGCTGGAATACCATTGAATTTACTTGCAATTCCATAGATCTTCTTTTCTTGTAATTCTACATCCTTTGGATCTCCTATTAACAATTCAATTGAATAATATGAAATAATAATGAATTCACTAGAGAATAAAAGGGATTCATTTTTAATAAAGAACAAAAAATTAACATTTGAAAAAATGTTTTTACCTTCAAATACTAATGTTGTTACACAAATTTTAGCAAGATCAAAACCTTTAATCTTAGTAATATATGCCATTTTTAGGCCATCTAAGAGGAGACCAAAATAGCCATGGCTTGGACGTAACGACTGGCCAAATTTGAACTGTGCATTGTCCATCAAACGAATAGATGCTGGTTGACAACGCTACAAGACACATAAAATCCAATCAGTTTCAAATGTTTTTGAGAACTTGTATTTACTACCCACACAAATGAGTTTTCAAATCAAACTCACTTGACGAGCCACTTCTCTTAAACAACAAACACCACTTTCAAAATCAGGAAATACTATTGAACCATACTTCTTAGAAAGGGGAAGTGGACGAATCTTTAATGTAACTTCTGTAATTACTCCAAGTGTACCTACAAACCAGGAAGAGTTGATATTGATTTCAAAATATACCTCTTCTAATTAACTATTTCACACATTCATACCTTCAGATCCCAGAATAACATGATTGAAATCTGGTCCACAAGACAGTCGAGGAACTTGGCTTTTCTTTTCCAACACACCAGAAGGGGTAACCATCCGTACTTGAACAACAAGATCTTCAATGTTCCCATAGGTATTTTTTTTCATTCCAGATGCTCTGGTTGCCACCCATCCACCCAAGCTATGGAGAAAACAATCTTTAATTTGAGGAAAATCCCCTTTATGTTACAAACTCAACAAGATATTGTTTACAGAATCAAAAGTAAACTTCCAAATTACCTAGAAAATTCATAAGAATCAGGTTCATGACCTGTAGTAAATCCTCTTTCACGTAATTCTCTTTCTAAGTCTTGTCCAATGATTCCAGCTTCGCAACAAGCAAACAAATTATCTTCATCTACCCACAGAATCCTATTCTAAAAAAAGTTGTATGTTATGAAATACAAATGAACTAAATCAACATAAAATATATTACAAAGAGAGTATTACCATCTGAGATGTGTCGAGAGATAAAATCGAACGCTTCTCAGATGAAGGGCATGTCACTGCACCTGATACACTAGTCCCACCACCGAAAGGTATTACAACAACATCATGATGATTTGCTATTTCCACCAATTTAGTAACAGTTTCATGGCTGTCTATGCAATATGCAAAATCAAATTATTATTAATATTATTACTATTATTATTATTACAAAGATACAAAAGTTGTATATTGTTGTAGTTAAAATAATTAGCAACTATAGTAAAATGTAGTTTTATGTTTCAAGAAAGCAACTTCACAAACTAAACTATTTAGTGTTGTAAATTATTTCATGAAAAAGTCTGAAAAAATACCTGGCCATGCAACTACATCTGGTATACGACCATATCTTCCTTCTCTCAAGGTATATATATCATTTAATGTGTGACCATGAGATCTTATTAATCTGTCAATTCCTTTCAATGAATAAGGAATTTTAAGCATTTCAATTTCTGCCAGGAATGCTGAAATATAATTACATTAAATACATTCTCTGACATTAAACAATTAAACAAATAAATAATGCTACTATGCAAGATAATCTGCTACATTAATAAAGGAGAAACTACTTATATAGTCAAGAAATACATCCTAAGAGATATATCATCCAAAACATCAATAAGTGATAATGTTACAAGTGATTAGTCTGTTCAAAATTAATCTTTGCATTCATCAATTTTCAACAGTACTTTTTTCTGACTTCAAAAAAAAGAAAAAGACAAAAGGATTTTCAAACAAATAAAGAAATTATACAAATGTCCACAAATGAGAACGTTAACACAAGAATCAACAGGTGAACCTCACTTTGGTCAAACCACAATTTTCTTATACCTTTTTTTGCAGCATTTAATGATCACTTTTCGTGTTATTAGGATTACAAATATTTTACTGGATAACAAGTAAAAGGTTCTTGTACAATTAAAATGTTCCCAAAGAACACTTATAAAATGTCAAAAGAAAAAAATCACTGAATTTTTGATTCAGTGTAATTAAAGTGAACCACTTAAGAACCTCAGCTTTTCATTTGTGAAAGTGTCAATTCCATACTAATTTTAAGCAGATAATGGGCATAATTGTGGAACATGTCACATAGATCTCCACAGGAGGAATGGAATCTGAAGACATTTCAAATAATCAAAGAACCGAACTAAGTTTTCAAGTTAAAAATAAAAAATAAAAAAAAACAACCACAAAACTTAATTTAAAAAACAAAAGTGAAATTTAGAAAAAGAAAAACCTCAGCTTTAAAAAAAATTGATGAACCCAAACAGAACAGCACAGGAAATAAAATAAATTTGGCAACTCTTAAAACCAAACACTTATTTTTTCTTTATAAATAAGTATATATAGATAGCAAATTACCTTGGACAATCACTGGGGAAGGAAAGTCTTCTTCTTTCGGCAAAGGCTGAGACTTAACCTCCACACTGAGATCAACATCAAATATATCACACACCCATTGTGTAAAATACGGTAACACAGCTTCACCAATGGGATATCTATGAAAAGCAACATTGCTCTCTATCGATTATCAAGGCAAAATGTAAACAAATTGGAAATTTTAAAAACAAGCAATGAGTGCACTGCAGTGAAAGAGTACTAACCGTTTCCCGGTAAATTGAACAAGACCATTTTTTACAGTAAACTGAGAATCTCTGTATCCCCAGCCATTCCATTTTAGCAGCTCTTGCCTGAAGAAAACACATACAAGGCCTCAACAGATTAGTTCAAAGATCCATTGGAAGACTTTTAAAATTAAATGTACTGGACAATACTATGAAGAGACAAGTCCAGCATACTTTAATCTCAAAGGTAATTTGTGTCCTCCACAATAACCCACCTGTTTTTGGGAATAACACTTTGTACTGATTGCCCAGACTCTTTTCGCGATTTCTCTGATTTTTCGTTGGAAGTCTGCTTATCCATTTTAATATTATTGAAGAAACGGTCCAGAATAAGGGAAAAAATGATGAAGCTGTCAACGATTCGTTCAACTTTACACTACTATACACCTTCACAAGATTCGTAGACAAAATTCTTGTAAATTTACGGCAACTTAGCAGACTACTATTCCTGTGCACTCACATCTACTCATATCAACACACCGCGCGGCAGTGCTATATGGTTATGAGCGTCGGCCTCGTACCTCAGTATCTCTTAGTATCTCTGCTCGACGTAACCCACGCCCAACAGTGCCTCCCACACAACCGCACACTCACTCATTCAATACATTATCTCTCATGTAAATCATGAGACTTTGCGCTCATCACTAATAAACCCGAAAGGGCAAAAACAGAAAACACAAACCACACTTCCGTTCGTGCCCCACCATTCTACGGGAATACAGTAAAATGCGCTGGCGATGTTTCTTTTAAAATTTGAACGGATGGGACAAAAAAGCCACATCCGATTTGTTCAAAGTTTGCGCCCTAATATTGGCTATCCTGCTTTACAAGCAGTCTTTACTTTGACAACATTGACAGCGCGATCTTCGAAAATTTCAGGCAAGATTAAATTGTAATTCGGTTAAATTCAAGAAATAAACACCATATTACATGGACAAAATTAACGGAATTAAATTTCCCCTGTCATTAATTATAAGTATGCTTTGAGATATCTATAAAAATATTGTAATTTTCAAAACATTTAATTCAGCACAATCTGGAAGTAATACAGTTAACTAATGATACTTTTCAAGAAATTGTATTCTAGCGGGAATATTGAAAATCAAAAAGATAAATTGATGACCCTTTTCATTGAATGAACACTAATGAACCACAATAAAGAATGCCACAAACAGTTTTTGACGTTAAAGAAATAATATGTAGACGTTGGCTATGCAAATAAATAAATACATAAATAAAAAGAACCACAACCTGGGATGATTTATTAGAAACGGAACATTCAACATTTAAATTACAGCATCTATGGAGAATTTTCATTGATTTGAAACGGTATTAGTTTACATTTAATAATGATACAAGCTAATGAAACATTGTTCGTTGGTCACCTTGTAGTAAAAGGGGTATTGTTGAAGTAACGAGTTTCTCGTGCGAAAGAGTTAAATTAGTAAACAAGATTTTGTCAAAAGAGAAAGTTCACGAGCACATGCTTACAAATAAACTTTTTAATTATCTCATTCTTCGTCTAATTTTAATGCCAAGGAGTCCGAGAGGGGGTGTGTCCGAATGCGCCTCTGTGCCAGTGTCGGCCAGCGCTCCGTTGGGTTCTATTTGGAGCTCTGCTGCCGAGCCAAACGGCCTCCACCTTGCTCGTCGAGCAAAATTATGGGGCTTCACAGTTTCTGTGCATCTCTCGCATAGAAAGGAACGCAGCGATTGTGAGGTACTATTGACTGTTTGTTGGGTTTTCTTGAGCACACATTCACGCACGTTTTCCTGATCCCGAGATGGAATGAGTGAGATCCTTCACATCCCACGAGAGCTAGTCAAGACTTTCAGGGTAAGAACCTGTTTCTCTTGTTCATTTCATGTACGGGTAGTAATTGTAGTTAATACACACGCAAATTTCCCTCAATCGAATACTTGAAATATGTCATTGTTATTTGTGTTTCAATGAAAATTACAACGAAACATAACTACTAACTCGTAACAATCTGTGTAAACACAAACACAAATATATATATATAATATATTATATATATATATTTGTGTGTATGTGTGTGTGTGTGTGTCATTCATTCGAAAACCAAAACAGTTAGGGGAGCTTCTCATTTATTCCAATTTCATAGTTAACAATTTATAAGCTTGATTTTAATTTATTTCGGCATGTTTAAGTGCTTTTGTTTATACACAATACACGTGGGCATTTAAATATTTATTAAAAAAGTTCATAGAACACAGTTTCCTTCTTTAATTTCTTCTAATATTCTTTGAACTCGCCGTAATATGGGGAAAATCCATTTCATCATAACATCTCCTTTTAAGACAATGAACTAATTAAATAATATTTGAACTAGTTGCATGGAGAATTCTTCTAACATTGTGAGACTCTCTTCCTAACCTGCTGCATTGATGGCTTGACTGGCAGAGAGCCGTCAGCGGGACGCTCAGAGAATTAAAGTGAACGAAACAGTGCGGTTCAGCATATTTTCTGCGAGTTTGAATCATGCCAAATAACAACTAATTTAATAATATGTAACATATAAATAAAAATAAAATTACGTACAATTATTATACTTTCATTAATTTTTAAAAAAAATCTATTATTTGCACAACGAAAGGTGTGTGATTGCCAGTTCATCTAATATTTCCTTGTGTAAACAAGAAAGGCTCTGAAACTGTACCATCCCTCTTTGTAGTAATCCTTTTAAGTTAGCCGAAGCAATATAATACTTCCGAGATTTTATCGATGTCTTTATTTTATCATTCTACGACCTACATGTGCCTAGGTTAAAACTGCAATTCTTTCTTAATTAACAGATCGACATAATAAAATATTTTATATTTATTTAAAGTCTAATTTTCAGGATGTTTCATATTTCATGGTAAAATGTTTCCCAAATTGATTTTCTGTTCCTTGTGCACAGAAATTATTGAAATCATGAGAAAATTCAGTCTGTCAAGTGATTAATGAAACTATTCGCGATTTTTTAGGGGCGGGGATGGAACTTGACCCTTGAAAATCAATTAATCGTCTAATAGTTAATATTTTTTCGAAAACATTAACTGAAATGTGAAAATGAAAAAAAACTCCCAAAATCAAAGTCAGATTTTACCAGACAGATTTTACATTCTGTATTCGATCTTTAAGAATAACCCAAATTAAATTATTTAATTGAAAAAGGCATAGGAACTCATATTGAGAAAGCTAACAGAGTACGACTTTGAGAATTTGCATTTCTTGAGCTGCAAAACACGAATCTTGTAATAAATTTAAGCTGTGTTCGAGATCTGAAGAAACCATCACATCTATTTCATAACAACGTACGAGATCAATATTTGAAGCATGTGCAAATTAGTAATCTGAAGATAGTAGAACCTAAACAACTCAAACAAACAATCATTCTGAAAATTAGAGACTAATTAAGTATTCCTCAGTTTTAGGATCTTTCCATTTTAATAACTAGCGTTGTTCGTTGAAGCACAAGACAGAATTTAGAGTTGTTATATTATCCCATGAGCAATTTACCGGGTATGGTCAGTCATTTGATGAAAAAAACTAGAAATGAATGAATGAATGATGATAATGCAATAGTGAAAAGAGAGGTAGGGGAAACGTAAGAACTCCGAAGAATTCCGTAGAAAAACTCCCTGTATCTATCGCATAGTCCACACGGAGCGATTTGGACTGAAACATTGAATATCGTATTTACGGTAATTGTTACGCCACGCACCACACTGACTGGCTGGTGCGGCAGCAGGCAGTCGCCCGAATAGGCAAGCAGATAGTTGCAAATCAAGAAACAACGTTTTTTCGATATCAGAGACAAAATCTCGGGATCGATTTTTTTGCGAGATTGTATAATTATTTTGTTTATGGGGGAGGTTCGTGCGTTCTCGTGCGACGCAGCAGCATAAATGTCGATCTGCATTTTCTTGTGGTTGTTTTAAATCGCCCAGCGCTGGGCTAGTTTCGGGAAGACGCCTCGATTGAGTCCCTTTTGCCCTTTTGTTGCAGGAGGCGGGCGGGCAGAGACATGGCTCTAAGGAAGCGCCTTGCCAAGGTCAGTTCTGGTAGCACTCATATCTACTTCCAGTAGACCACTATCCACCCTTTCCATGTCTTCCTATTATTTGTCAGTTCATATCCCTCTAATTTATTCCCTAAACTAAAATATCAAAATTAAACTCCAATAGAATAAAAATCAGCACTAATTAAGAATAAGCCAGAGTAAATCAACATCAATTTGTAAAGGAATGCTCCCTTCCAAAAATGACAGCGAGTATAATTGAAAACACCTCAAAATACCTCGGATTAAATGAGAGGAAAAAACAAATTTTAAAACGCTTTGCTCCCTTTCATCCTTCTTCCCACCAACAACACAAGGGCATATCATCAGGGAAACGGAGAAAGCCGTAAAATATAGAAAAGCGGTTCTCAAACTTGATTGCGAATGGAACTCTACGTAACTCGTTATTATCGAAACAATAAGTTCAATTTCTAGGACTAGGAGTTAACGTATGTATTTCGAAACGAAATAAAAATCAATGCCGGGCCGTCGTAGATAAAATATTGAATGAGACACGGTTGATACAACATTAGAAACTCGTTTCGTTATCTAACGTCTCGTGTTGTCAAAGAGTTATCTACTTACATTGTTCATACCATTTCATTATGATATTCCTATTAAATATGTTTCATTGATAGCTGTAATCCTTACTACGTCAACTCGTAGTAATTAATCATAAATGAAAATTCATTTGCAAAAATTTAAAAAATGCTGTATTTAAAGCATGCTATATTTTTAGTTACAATACAAGTAAACCGTATTAACATTAACTTCCAGAAATGGACATTTTGATTTGAATACTTAATAACATATTGTATACGTATGTATTGTCCTCATAAAAAGCTGCGTGATGTAAAATCCTCCGTGAAGCCTTTCGAAGCCCTGAAGCTAGAATCATCGTTACAACCACACGCCAATAAGGCTTCGGGGAAGCAAGGAACAAACAATGAACAATTGTTGGGTCAGAAAAGAAGTCTCTCTTGTTAGTTACGAATGTCA